AACCGTATTGGTGATGTTAAGTATAAAAAGATTGTCTATGTTTTGTTTAAAAAATGTTGCAGAGTCAGTATCTAACTCTGCGACATGTGTAAAACACGCGATCTCTGGAAATTTATATTTAAGTTTTGCACATTTACAGTCAACTTTTTAGTCATATAGTTAGAATACTGCTCTATTATGGAGAGCCTATTGGGTCTCTCGTTTAAGGCAAAGTTTTTGTTCATTAAAACTCCATAATAACCGCTCGTGTCACTGGCCGACTCGCGCGCCGGCTGACTGTCAAGGAACGTACCAACTGTTAAACGGCGTCCTCGAAGTGTACTTAGTAATTTTTGTTAACCTTGTGTGCCATGTTTCCATCCATCAGATAATTATCATGATAAAAATCGAATGGCTCTGCAATGTTCGGAAATTCGTTTATTTCAATAAATATATTTTTGGAGCAGAGCCAAGTTACGAAAACATTATAGATGCAATACACGACTTAATGTTATTCATAAGTAAGTGGTTTATTTAAAACAAATTTTAAACAAAGACTCGGGACACCAGTACATTACCTGTAAGTGTGACCACAGCAATAGTTTTAGGGTACTCTAGCAAAAACGACCTTGTAGCGGTGATGACCTCCATTGCTTTAATATCGCTGTACTCCAATGGATGTAAAAGGAATAGCGGGCTCTGTTCAAGTCCGTTCAGCAAACCAGCACCAGAAAAGCAGGTTAAACAAGTTGTTACAACAAAACTCGTCTGCCACCTACAGATACGTAATACACAAAGGAAGTACCGCCCACTGCCACAATGCAATAAAGAGGAAGCTCATTGGCTGTCCATGTCAGTGCGCCTGAAAAACAACGATAGCGTAAGCTTTATGAGGATACATATAAAAAGTCCTAAATAATTTTGATGATCCGTTGTTGAGATGTAGTCGTCGACTTAGGTCTATAAAAAAGGGGTCATTGTGCCTAACCTAATGTATAATAATATTAAGTATCGTTATTTATTTGTTTGTTTGTTTGTTTGTTTGTTTGTTTGTTTGTTTGCTTACAATATCACAAGAACTGTCTAAACTATGTGAAATCCAAAATGTGTTCATTCGTTACTGAAATGTAACTAAGTGTTAAGGTGTAGGCTATAGAGAAGCAGATGTCTGATTCATTTATGCCATTCAATTTGATTGTATGATTTGCTCTGAAGTTATATGTAATAACTTCAGAGTCTAGGTATTACTTTTTACTACTCTGTTATTCTTCCAACAGCCTGTTTCACAAATTAATCACTAACAATTTTGCAATCAACATTTTCCCCACTAAGCTAACGTCTACGGTATATATAAAAAACAAACAAAAAAATTAAAACATGTTAATAAAAAAAAAACTTCAATGGCCGTTGATCTTATAGTAAAACCATATTTCAGCAACCCTTTCCCATGAATAGTAGCAATAAAATATCCCTGAAAATTAATAAATAAACAGTAGCAATAGATCACTGTCAAAGTATCAGTCATCCCATTATGAAGCATTGCTTGTAAACGTTTAGTGAAATTTTGCTATCCCACTGATGTATTAAGGAAAAAGAAAATATAGTGAAAGATAAATTGAAAGGATTACATCCCATGCAGCAATTTATTTTGCAAGGTAAGGTCAAGAGCAGCACACATAGTGCATGTTGCGAATTTGAGCCAGTAGAGGTCAGTGCAGGCTCAACAACAGATTAGCAGTGCTTCTCTGTGGACCCCAGCAGATGGAGCATTTGCATCATCTCCAACTTCCAGAGAATTAGAATTTTTTTTTTTTTTTTTTTTAAAATTTTTTTTTTTTAGAAATTTTATTCTCAGGAGTCCACTATGTTGAATTTGTTTTGATGCCAATTATGGTACATAGCATGAAAGGATGTTCTTAATTCCAACTACTACAAAGGGTTAGTTCCTGCGATTGTTTTAGTAGACAATAGCTGAAACCCACCAGTAAGAACAGTAGTAATAGCATTTGCCTACACTCTTGAATTCAACCCGAAGTCTGCTGAAAGCCTCAGCTGACTTTAAATAAAACATTTGCACTGTGCATACAGATGTGAGAAAAACAACAACAACAAAAAAAAAAAACACCGTGTCCTATCAAAAAGTCATGTCCTCCTCTGAACTTCAGAGCTCTGTGGAGTTTTCTGATATGAGTCTGGACGTGGGTTAAACACCTGACCTTGAGGTTAATAGTTTGACATCTGAGAAAATCTGGCGGAGTGTGAGCAGACATGTTAACTGACTGAGTCTTCAAGGACTATTGTCGAACATAAAGGATTATGCAATTGTTGCTGACCCCTATCTCCCTATTTCGTCATTACAGTCTCTCATTAAAGAGAGACAATCTGGGCACTTCCAGTTTTACTAGAAAACAACAGGTTTTGATATCTCCAGTCAGACATAGGCAGATTTAAATCTCTGAATTTTAATTTTATTTTTCAAATCACTACAACATCTATTCTCCCAGAGTGCGTCAGAGGTGACCCGACTGCTGGCACTCAACCAAACCTGTCATATGACTGCTCTGCTCACTTCACAGTCACTCTCCCATTATGGCAAGCTTCCCCTGCTAAAATTAGAGGGCCCTCTGCTGATACGTTTTGGAATGTGACTTTCCGGCTTGAATTCTACTGACGATTTATGATCAAGATAAATTTCACGGTGTTCCTGATATAATTTCTATTTAATTAACAACCAGTTTGCAAAAAAAGACAGAGAAATGAACTGGAAAAAAAGGTTATGAATTTGACAGTTATAGTGTTCATAAAAATGGTTTTATAAGCCTAAGAGATCAAGACTGCGGAAGAAAGCAAACATGACTAACATACTATGAAATAAAAATGAGTGCAGCAAGACAGAGAAATGTACACATTGAATGCAAAACCTTGCGACTGAAAGCCCTAGGAAGATATAGACTGTGTGGCAGCTTTGTCTTATTGTAAGTGTGTGTGTGTGTGTTTTTAAATGTGATTATTAGAAACTTAGGCAGTAGATGAACACAAAGTAGTGCACAAAGTTAAAGGAAAATAATACACAATTTTCTGGGAGTGGAGAGGATCATAAACACATATCTGAAGGCAGGCAGCATGCATTTGTATTTCCCCTTCTAAGTCAATCATTTGTAGAAACAACTGCTGCAAATTGTTTGCTTCTCTAAAGAGGGAGATTTTTGTCCATTCCTCTTTGCAACATTTACATTTAGATCCTACATCCATTCAAACTGGATGGAGGATCTAAATGTATATTGCCAGGTGAAGGATGTGAAGAAGTTACTACTGTAACTAGATCTCCTCCATGCAACTAAAAAAAAAAAGAAAAAAAAAAAGAGAGAGAGAGAGAAAGACTTCTGGGAGTAGTTGAACTATGAATACTCTTTGCTTTTATTTGAGTTGTATTATAACTTACTCATGCTACTCTTACTTGAGTAAGATTTCTGGCTGCTCTACCTATCGGAAGTAACCTCCCTGAATGAAGAGCAAGGTTTTAACAAAAAATGCACCAGACATAGATAGTTCATGTCAAAGTCAGTATTCTCATTTATACCACATGGCTTAATATAAGTATCAATCTGCTAAGCCTGATTTGTCATTTGGAAAATAAGTGATTATTCGGTAAACTGTAGATATTGTCACTGAAAGTATCTGACCCTGTTCTAATATACACAGAGTACCTGCAGTAAATATTGGGTTCAAATTTTAAATAAAAAAATAATTTGGAAAAATATTTTCTGTTTTAATTGATATTTTATATTTTTTATTTTTATTTATTATTTTTTTTATACTTTAAAATACCAAATTTGGCACACAACCTTTTTTATTTAAACTGTGAAATCAGATGTTAGTTTAGTTATTCAATACTTTATTATTTATCAAATACTTTTCTACTTTCTACTACTACTTTCTACTTTTTGCTTGAGTAAGAATATTTTGAACCACCATTTTTATTTACTCAACCAACCTTTGCAGATCTGTACAAAGTGCGGTATTATAACACGAGTGAGAACTTTTTTATGTCCTGGTGAATGTCTCTGACGTAGCGCTTAGCGTGTTCCACCGGGGAGGGCCAGAAGGGCGGTGCTGCTGACTCCAACTATATTGGAGCGATCATCAGAGCACATCGTCCCCTCTTCCCTTTGAGTTTCGTCGAGTGTTGACCGCAGAAGTGTTTTGGGCCCGGGAAAGAAAGACATGGCTGGATATTTGAAAGTTCTCAGCTCCCTTTCGAGGTCGGCCGGTGCGGCTCTCTCCAGAAATCCCGCAGTGCTTGCGCCGGCTGCAAATTGCCAGACTTTGCAACAAAGAAACTGTGAGTTGATGGAGATAACGGCGGGGGCGGACGTCCCCAGCATCAAATTTTGTTGTTGAATAAAATGGAGGTTTATAAAGCGCTGCATTTTTTATGTAATCAAAATGAAATGTGGATAGAGAAAGCAATGTCAGGAAGGACGGACGGCGTAATGAGACAGGCGTTTGAAGCCGCCGGCGCCGCGCTAACCTCAGCCATGCTAGCTTAACGTGTGTGCGGCTACTGTTAGCCAGCTGGGATGCTGTAAATAGCTTTAATGGCGCTCTTAGGTTAAGGCCAACGATGCTCCACAGGCCTGTTTAAATCTCCGAAACAGCTTTCCTGCTGCGGATTGTTCTGGTGATGACGAGGCGGATGTAAAAGTCGAGAAAGGTGAAGGGCAGGGCAATAAACCGAAAGCTGTCTTTGTATTTCTCTTTCAAACTTTGAGAAGCAACTGATGGATCACGTAAAGATTACGCGCTAACCTTGATGAATGACACGCGAACTACTTAATATCCGCCAACAAATCCTGCTTGTATCCCACGCAGCTCATAATCAAAACATTTTAGGTTACTTGCGGGGAAATTTTGCGGACAGTGTTAAAAAAAAACGGCTACAGATGACTCATAAGGATGTTCCGTTTTTAGCTGTCGGTGCGGTAATTCTTTTTATCGCATTCCTCTGCTCTAGGGGTCAACAGTGGGAATGTGCTTCAAAACCAGCTAAAGAAGCTGCTCAAGCACAAATTGATGAAATCTTACTCGGAGGTTTTGTCATTAGTTTAACTTATAGAAAAGTTTCCTCAAGGTCAGCCGATGCATACGAGAGTCTGTTACAGGAAGCAATGGCTGCCGCTGCTGCAGCTCAGGGTGTCCTACATGTCTTCTTCTGGGTCACATCCAGGCTGCAGCACAATATCCTTACTCCAACATTTAATAAACTATATTGGGAAGACTGTTTAGATCTTCATCATGAGTATTAAAGTGTGTCATTTTTCGGACCACTCATAGCAAAGAGGCCTACATCAGGGAACCTTATTTATTTATATAGTAATTTCTGCTGTGAAAGTCATTCTAACTTTCACAGCTACACAAGAGATTAATATTTAAAGAGACACCTCGGCATTAAATTTTTTCTGCTGGACACTGTCGTTTGTTCTCCCCTTCATTTGAAAAACAGATATGTAGTTTTCATCTTTAAAGTATGATACTTTCATTCAACTTCTAACTTTGTAAGTTACAACTTGTGAAGCTAGACTTGCTTAACTTTAAGTTAGAACGTAGCCCTGACATTTAGTAACAGTTTTAAGTAAGGCTCGTAAAAGAACTAGATGTGCTGTTCTTCTGCAGAATGTCATTTAAATTCTTTCAGACTGGCGTTCGAAAGGGCGACTGTAACCCGTTTTTGTAAGGCTTGGGTCGTAGAGTGTTGAAGCAGTATTAAAGATATGGTAACAGGAATGATTTATGTACAAAACCTGCTAGATATAAGAGCTCAGCTAGGCAGCAGAGTGGGAGATGTCATGAGC